AGCAAAACTGCTTCAGTGATTTGAATAAATGGTTTGTTAGCTGCAACAACAAAAAAGCCTTTTTCTGGGTCTTGATATCAGAATGTGTCATTGCTGATTCTAGGGGGAGAGGAAATAGCTATACTAAGAAATTTATGTGAGATGACCTCTTATGTCTTCAAATTCAGTAACAGATTTAGAAAACAAAAGGTCTCTCCAATTCTAAGCCTAAAATATAAGTGAAATGTAGGCATCGAAGGATCTCACATCACTATGACAGAGCAAAGTGGCCACTGAGGTCACTAAATGGGCCAATGTTTGCTGTCATTATACTCTCAGTTCCACGTGTCACAGAGCATTGGATTAGTCTAAATCTCTTCCACACGTTATTAACCCTGGACTGATAATTACCAAGGCAGAAAAGGATCTCAGGTAGAATCAGACACTGAAAATTAACCGTCTCACTGGAATGTACTGTTCTCATGCTTAGTATGTGAAAAGAGCTGTTTATTAATGTTGAGCCTTCCCTTCCACATACACATCCAGGTTAAACAACAGAACTTTGAGTCTTATTTTCCTCAGCTTTAAAATGGAGATGATGATAACAGTACCCATTCTCCTATCTTCACAGGATTAAATGAAGCAATGTAAAGACTTAAAAATGCTGCCTGGCCAAAAAGGAACCCTCATACACTTTTGGTGGGAATGTAAACTGGTACAACCACTATGGATAACAGTATGGAGGTTCCTCAACAAACTAAGAACTGAACTACCATATGATCCAGCAATCTCTCTTCTGGGTATTTACCCAAAAAACCTGAAAACGTTTATCCGCAAAGATATATGCACCCTGATGTTCATAGCAGTATTATTCACAATGGCCAGGACATGGAAGAAACCAAAGTGTCCTATGATAGATGACTGGATAAAGAAGCTGTGGTACATATTTACAATGGAATACTACTCAGCCTTAAGAAAAGATGAAATACTGCCATTTGCGACAACATAGATGGATCGATATAAGCCAGGTCAGACAGAAAAAGCTTAAAACCATATGATCTCTCTCATATGTGGGATATAAAACCGAAAATAACAAACAGGACAAACTAACAGAGATTCATGGAGACGAACTGTGGATTAGTGGTTACCAGAGGGAAGGGGGAGGGGGAGAGGAGGGAGATAGGGGTAAAATATTTGGTGATGGAAGGAAATCTAACTTTGGGTGGTGAACATACAATGCAATATATATATGACATACTGTTTGTTGAATTGTACACTTGAAACTTACTTGATTTTATTTATGTCACCCCAATCATTTTTAATAAAAAAAGAAAAAGAAAATATAGCCTCAGCCCTCATGAAGCTCACAATCAAATAAAGTTATACTACGGTGTAAAAAAAAATGCTGCCTGGTACATATAGAGCACTAAGAAAGCATTTGCACATCATTATTTTTTAATCACTACTTAGTAAAATAGCAAGTTATGAAATTTTATCTCAAAAACAACTTTATATAAAAAATCTATTTGAAAAGAAGATCCAATTCACATGGAACCATGAAAGATATGGCAATATGCAGTACCTGTATGAAGAAAATGAAGATGCCAAAAGTCATAAAGACTTAAGTAAATGAAAAGACATTCCATATTCCTGAATATCAAGTTTCAATATTATCAGGATGTCAATTTTTCTAAGTTAACCTATAAATTAACTGCAAACCTAATGAAAATACCAAAATAACTTCTGGTATTAACAAAATAACGCTAAAGTTAATTTAGAAAAATGTAATAGCCAGAAAATTTCTGAAAAATCACAGTAATTTAGGTGTAGGTGGAGTAGAGATTATATCCATCATATATTAAAACATACAATGAATTGAAATACATAGGGAAAAAGAAATACTATATGCCTATTCAACAGAATCCAGAAAATAAACCAAAATACAAACATAAATTTAGCCTATGACAAAGGTAATAATTCAGATTATCTAGGGAAAAGAAATAAAAAAATCTGGTACAATATCTGGCTGTTTAGACAGAAATAAAGCTGGATTCCTGTTAAACACTGTATCAGTCAGGGTTCACTGTAGGAACAGAAACTCCTCTAGATACTTCAAGCAAAAAGAGATTTCATACAGAGAATTAGGTCCTTAAAAATCTTCGGAAAATCTGTAAGGGCAGAAACTGGAGATCACCATGCTTTTTAAAACCAAGGTCATATCATCATCATCTGTGATTCAGGGCACAGGAAGCTAGTGATGCTGCTGCCATTAGCACTGCCTCACACCCATGAAGCAGGAGACAGACACTGAAATGTGGAGCCTGGCTGCTGTAAGGTAGGAGCTTACCTGTCCACTGGCATAGCCATAGTATATGCCCTCTGCCTCTTACCTCTCAAATCTTCACCAAATTATTGGAAGAATTTAACCTATTCAGAACCATATTTACCTCTGAGTCTGCAAAGCTTCATTTTTAGCCTTCCATCCCCTGTGGTATGGGATGGGAGGCATGGGACATAATGCTAAGTGCCAAGAGACAATATCTAGCATACATTCTCACACTAAAATCAATTCCAGATGAATGAGTTACCTGCAAAAAAATAAAATGAAACTATCACAATGTTCTAAAAGAAACAATGGGTGAACTAGTAATCTTGGGTGCAAAAGGTATTTCTAAGTATAACACAAAATTCAGAAACCACAAAAGAAAAGTGATGGGTTTATCTATATAAAAATTAAAAATGTGTATCTGTTATAGTATTTTAAATGCACAAATACTTTGACCAACTATGTCGTTGCTAGAAATTTATATTATAGAAATATTTGTGTAAGTTTGCAAACGTACCCAAACAATGCACCATTATTTTTAAGAGCAAAACTCTGAAGACGAGTGATATATAAAATTGTGGTCCATCATATAACAGAACACTATGAGAGGCCAGGTAAAAGGACAAGTTTGAAATAAAGATGTCCCCTTTCCATAACACATGTGCATACATATCCTTACACAGTCATGCGCGGTGTAATGACACTTTGGTCAACAATGGACCGCATGTATGACGATAGTCCATAAGACTATAATGGACTATCATTGAAAAATTATCACCTAGTGACATCATAGCCGTCATAATGTCATAACGCAAGACATTATTCACATGTTTATGGGATGCTGGTATCAACAAACCTACTGTATAGCCAGCCATATAAAACTACATAGCAAATATAATTATGTACATTACGTAATACTTGATAGTGGTAATAAATGACTGTTACCAGTT